TTTTTTTTCTTACTTTCTTTTTTTCTTTGCACATCCTTTTTTTTTTCTCTATATGTTCAAAAATGTCCCATCTTCAAGATTTTTAGTCACCATTTGATGCCTCCTCTCAAATTTTTTTAACCTCACTTTGATGTCTCCTCTCAACATATTTTATTCTCTCTTTTATTCCATTTTCTTTGCCAAAAATTATGAATTTTTTCTTCTCTAACATAAAGTAAGTATTGATATATGGGTCTAATTATTTGTGATGTTTTTTTTTTTTCAGTTTTAAAGTGAAATTTAAATTTTTCTATTTTTGTTGAAGTAAATTTTAGTTTTTTTAAAAAAATTTGTTTTTATTCCCTTTTTATGAAAATAAATTCAAAATTTTTAAAAAATAAATATAAAAAATATTTAAACAATAATTAGATAATCTCATTTAGTAATCAATTAGATAAAAAAAATTTAATTATAAAATATATTATAACAACATGAATAAAACCTAATATAATATTTATACTCACAGGTATAGTTGAAATTTTTTTATAAATAATTATTCATACTTGAATCTAAATTTATTTAATAAATATAAGTTTTTAAGCATTACAAAATATTATTATAAATATTAATTAGATCTAAAAATAATTATGATCATCTTAATTACAGAGTTCTATTTTATATTTTAAAAGAAAGATCATTAAATTAACCATTTTAAAATACTGGAACAGTTTATTTGCATTAAATTATGAGCAACTTTAAAATTTGTATACAATATAACGATCTAGCCACCAAAATGGAACGTGGCAAGTGATTTGACAGCCGTCATAATTAAATATAATAATTGTTGGCAATAAGAATATAATTATAATATAATAGATATTACGACCGAAACATATCATTTTTCTTTCAAAATTTTATAACGTCTATTAAATCGACAAACGTGTTTATTATTATTTTGTTAAAATGTTTTTAAGACTTAAAATAAATTTGAGTTAGATTTTAAGAATGAGTTAAATTTAATTTTTTAATAAATTGTGTTTAAAATAATTTTATAATCATATTAATAATAAAAATATATAGAACAAAATTATTTAAATATAATAATAAGAAATGCATAAAAAGATAATAAATAATTTTCATATAGATTGAAAATTTTAAAAAATAATTAAGTAAAATGTATAATATTATATACTATCTTAAAATTTAATTAATTAAAATTTTATTTTAGATATTCTGTTTTTTAAAATTTAATTTAGATATATTAATATTATAAAAAAATTTAAACTGTCAATCATTCACGAACTATCATATTAGTAAATTTGTTTAATAATTAATATAACAATTATGTCTGTAATATATTCTAATTAGTATACTAACATTATATTAAATTTTTAATTTGTATTTTATATATATATATATATATATATATATATATATATACACACTAATAAAATTCTGTCATTTATTAAAAACGCTGGAGATGTTCCCTAGTTAATGAAATGATTAAGAAAGTTTGTAAAGGGATTGATATTATACGCTAAAAGAGAAGTCAAAGACAAATTCAAAAGAAATACAATAAAATATTAATATTATTACAGAAACAGGTAATACATGATAATAAAGTAGTAGGTATTATTTACAATTTATCTAAATTCATTATAAAAAAAAATTTCATTCATTAAAAATAAATATTAAGTGTCAGGATAACAGTTATCAATACGTTTTTGTCTAACAAAAATTAAGTTATAATTATAAACTTCAAAATTTATGCTATTAAATAATATATTATATTAATATTTAATTTATTGATAATACATATATATATATATATATATATGAATATTTTTAAATAAGAATATTTGTTGATATAATATATTAATAGCAAAATTTTAATATCCAAACTGACAGCTAAATTTTTATTTAAAAAATTTATACTAACAAAAAAATTAATTTAATAATAAACGATATCTTTTAGTAATTATTTATTTATCTCGATTTACACGTATAATAAAATATAGCAATAAAACGTAGGACTACGACAAAACTAGTAATTATAATATTTTCCCTTTTATATTACACAGCCAGTTATGTCGTCTTTCTCTTTATCTGCGCAGAAATAATTGAATTGTCCCAGGGCACACCCGAAATACTATTGTCTTTTAGTCTTTTATCTTGATATTCTTGTAAAGCAAGTGATAATTAATATTTTTATAATATTAATTAAAACAAAAAATATTTTAAGAAAACATTTGTTTTTTAAGATGTTTTTTAAAAATATATTATTTACTATTTTTCCAATAACATTATAAAATACCGACTAAAAAACGCCATGCTTGCCGGATTGATAGTGTGTTTAGACAGAAAATATCATAGATAAAATATTTTGATATTTATAAGCTAAAACATATTTTATTAAAATACTTTTTTATCTGCAGTGATGTTGAATAAATTAGTATCATAATAATATAATATTATGCAAAATATTTTGTTTATTTTTTAAAATTTTATATTTCTTTCTATTATTTTAATATTGTTTTTGTTAATTTATAAAATTATAATTTTAAAATTACATATATTTTCTATAAAAATAATCTTATTTTTCTAAATATCTAATATAATTACATTTACTGAAATTTGAATTCAATATCACAAAATAATATATATAATTTTAAAATATAAAAATATTTAAATTAATTTAATAATTATAAAATAAAAAAATAAAGATCTAAAATTATTTATTATTATGCTTTAAATATTTTTTTAATCTCTGTACAAATTTTTATTTTTAATATAATATTTATATAAAAAATGTAAATAAAAATAAAAAAGATATTTTTAAAATAGTCGTCTAGTTACTTTTTGCAGTTATATTATTATTTTATATGTATATATATATATAATTACATAAATAATATTTAAATTAATTTAATTTAAATTGGCGTCATAGGATGAGGTCAGCCACGACCCCAAGAATGCACTTCTGACCTGGCCGCCATCCTGATCCACTTAATTGACCCACGTGTGCTTATCAATCTCGTTCGGCGGGCCCCATTCCTCACGCTATGATCCCCACCGCAGGATTTGTTGCTATTTCCATATAGCCACAAAACTATTATTAAGGACAAGTTGATGTCATGCCTTAAATATAACAATATACTTTTTAACATAATACTTTTTTTTATACATATAACCTTTTAACATAACACTCTAATGTGTCTTTACTACTTAACAAAATTATATTTCTGTCTATGTGAAACGAATGTTACACGTAATAAAACTAATATTCAATCTAATTATAAAAAATATAAAATTTTCAAACATTACATGAGTATTATTAAATTAAACGAAAATTTTTAAACAATTAATGAATAATATATTCTAATTATTAATACTAAATAATTTATTAATATAAATAAAAATATTCGATATAATGCCAAAAAAAACTAATTCTTAAAAGTGTTTCTGTATAAAAAAAATGCAAAAAGTACTATTATTTAAAAGTTTGTACTCATAAGTTATATATAAAAATAAATGCATTATAGTTTAGTTTGAATTTAGTTATTTATTTTTTATATTTTTATCTTCAATTTAATTATAAGAAGGTAAAAAAATTATTTTACTGTATTTTATATTTTATTTACAGTTAAAATTATATAGTAAAAATAAAACTAAAAAATAAAATAATGTAATTTTGAATATAAAATTATAAAAAAAGGTTAATTATTACAATTTTATAAATATATACTTATATAAGCATGATTAGAAAAGTATTTTAATTATATAGGTACTCATAATCTTCGGTTTGTATTGAGTTTAATCAGTTTTTAATAACTTTTTTTCATATTTATTTTTTATCATTCGATTATTCAATTCAGATTTTACAATTTACACTAAACTAATTTTGATTTTTTAGCAATACTAATTTTAAGATGAACTTTTTCTTAATTTATTTTTACCATTGAACACAATTATATGCATTTTACTTGGGATACCTGGTCGTAAGACTGGCTTGGTCGAATCAGAGATTTTGGTTTGAATAAAACACACAATATGACTATATATATTATAATTAAGTTTTACATAATATTTTTTAACATTATTTCCCAATATAATATATATACATATAAACACACAAATATATACAACATAAATGCAGGAGGAATTTTTTAAAATATTCCAGTAACAATTGAATTCAAATAATCTATGAGCTAAGACTGCATTCCTACCAAATGTACTTGTGAGAAAGAATAAAAAGCCTTAACAGTGTTTAAGTTTCGAGTATTGAAAAGATTGCATAAACTAAAAAAAAGAAAAGAAAAGCCTAAGAGCCTAAATAAAAAATTAAATTGTCTAAATGTTATTTAAAACCTCTAAGCATATCTTAGTTATAGAATTATGCCAAAAATAATGTAGTTTATTTAAAATTAAGCTTAATTTTAATGTAAGGTGGGTATTAACAAATTATAATACTAACTAATTAAAATATATTTTAGATATATCATAAAATATATATATATATATATAAATTGTTAACTAATATTTAAAATATTACTAGAAAGTTACTAAATTTTTTAAAAACAACTTCAGAGTACATTTACATTCATAAAAATGTTATTTTTAAAATTTTAACAGATATCTTAAAATTTATTAATTAATATTTAATTGTTAATTAAATAAACTATAAGTTGACTAAAAAAACTCGCGAAACACCGTATTACCCTTTTGATTCTGTCCTGTCACTCACCAAACGTGTTATATGTTTAAGAGGAACAATGCACTACATGAAACATTCATGCATTACTCTAAAAAAGGTTCCATGTATTAATCGTAAAACATATTTTTTAAAAAAAGTTGTCGTATTCAAACGACGATGATATAAATTTGTCGTCGCATGACAGAGTTTTACCCCTTTGAGTTTCACCCAAATTTTTATCCTATCGCTTTAGCGGCAACTTTTACCACTTTACAGTCACCAAAATTGGTATATAAGGGAGGAGGGGTAGCAAAAACAGAGCACTCAACTCACTTCTCTTCACTCTCCACTCTGTTTCGAAACCCATTCACACTAAACATGGACTCATCCATCTTCAACACCTCCAATTCCGACTTCTCGTCGGAATCTTCCTCCTCGGAGCCGTTTTCGTGGAACGGATATCTTCCGTTCAACGAGAACGACTCAGAAGAAATGCTTTTGTACGGCATGATCGCCGACGCCAACACCCTCTCGGCGGAGAGGGTGAAGGAAGAGGAAGTGAGTTCCGAAGAGAGTAGCACGAGGAAGGAGAAGTCGTACCGCGGCGTGAGGCGGCGGCCGTGGGGGAAGTTTGCGGCGGAGATAAGGGATTCAACGAGGCATGGGACGAGGGTGTGGTTGGGGACATTTGATAGCGCTGAAGCAGCAGCGTTGGCTTATGATCAAGCTGCGTTTTCCATGAGAGGCTCTGCGGCCATTCTCAACTTCCCCGTTGAGGTTGTTAGAGAGTCTCTTCGGGAGATGAACTATGGCTCCGAAGAAGGGTGCTCTCCTGTTGTCGCTCTCAAGAGGAAGCACTCTCTGAGAAGGAAAATTGGTGTTAAGAAGAACAAAGAAATTTGTGGGGTTAGGAATAGGGTAGACAATGCGGTCGTGTTTGAAGATCTTGGTGCTGATTATTTGGAACAATTGTTGATCTCTTCTGATCATGTTCCTTGCACTTGGTGATTCATTCATCATTTTCAAAGTACCTCTATATTTAGTGTTAATTAATTAATTAAATCCTTTTTCTTATATTCCCCTTTGTTCTTTTGTTCTTGTATTTTTATTTTTTTTTGGGGGGCAAAGAAGCCTATGTCATGTTTCCATGACAAATATGAAGATCTTTTGGGTCTGTATCTCTCTTTTCTCTGTATGTTTTTTTTCTCCCTCTTACTCTAGGAGAATTTTCTTCCCTGCTTTATTTTATTTTTCTGTAAAGCTTAAAAGATAAGGAATGCAGTAATCTTTGTGGGCCTCAGTTTATGTCAAATTGTCCATATTAATTGAGGTGACTGCTGTTTAGCTTTATCAGACTATAAGTCAACATGCATGGTCGAGCTTTGCGCGGTGAAAGAGGCACGTGTGGGCGCACGCAAACAAATTAAGGGTTTCCTAACCATTTTGGCAACCTTTCGACTTTTGACTTCCTGGGTACACAAATTTTCAGAGTTTTGGCAAACGGATTTTCACGTAACAGCTTATTAACTACAATTTTATGCACTACTTTAAGGCGGGGAATTAAAAAAAAAAAAAAAGCGGATTTTTCAGGTGAAAAGGTAATTTTACAACAATTTTTTAACGTGTATTTAAAAATATAAAAAATTATAAAAATTATAACATTTAATATTATTAATCTATTGTGTTCTGTAATACTTTATAACTTTTAATAGAAAAATTATTATATATACATATTTTTTTACTTTTCTTTAAACACACGTTAAAAAACAATTTTATAAGAATACTTAGTGTAAAAAGTTGTAGAGAATTCATTTTATTTGAGGTGAAGAAAATGAAGATTAATGTTTGATTGATGAAGCAAGATCTGGTCCCATTAAGGTGACATTTCCGATTATTAACGTGGTGCATGACATGGGATATGCTTCTTTTTGTAAATGAGAAAAAGATCCATTACAGTTATCAAACTTTTCTACCTGATTGAGTTCAAAATAAGTGGTAGGGCTACTTTGCCACCAGGTTAGGCTAAGTTTGTCTTGTGACCACAACAGCATCTATGAAACATAGACTTTGACAGCACACAGCACATTGGTGGTATAAGCTAAAGATGAAATACCAAACTTTACTTGTTCAATAGGGAATAAAAAACGATTAACAAGATTAAAAAAAAATTAGCAGCAATATTTTATGGTGATAATATGATAAGGGAAAATGCAAGGAAATAGCCTTCGTGAGTTGGTGGGATTTCTAGAATTTTATCAAATCCATTGGACTAGAGAACCTCAAAACAGTGTTCTCTTCAACTTTTTGAGTCCAACTTTGAAGCAAAAGAAGCTTCTTCTTGCAATACTGGTCTAACAGAACTGGTTAGACACTTAGACCAACATCTGCAATCTTATGACTTATCTGCATTATTATCTTCACGTGGGCTTTCCTTGATTTATTTATTCATTTTGTGATGTTTCTACGAATTAGTTCTCCATATATATAACCAATACTTTACATGCTCAACAAGTCACTCTTATTTGCCCGTATTCATTTGTTTATTTTGAATCCAACTTGGCTTTAACTTAATATTTTGAATAAGCTAATTGTTTAGTATCACTAAAAAATTATCTTTTGCTAATAATTAAGTATTAAATTAATATTCATTATTTTAAATTTTTAATAATATGTATATTATACCAATAAATAATATCATTAAAATAAAATATTGATATATACCATCAATACATCAAATATTAAAGTAATGCGTTATATTGTTGGCATAAATTTTTAAAATCAGTACTGAAAGTTAGTTTTCGTTAAATAAAGGCTATATTAATAAAGCCGAATTTGATAAGTCTGTTAATAAATAATTTTTTTTGTAATGTACTATATTCAACCAGCTCATAGTCAAACTAACGATTAAATTAATATGATATTATGATAAAGTGTATAAATTTCATATAATATAGTTAAGGATTTTTTTCGTATGTTTTTAAATAATATGAGATGATTATATTTTAATATTTTTATGAATTTTTACTTGTATACATTAAAATACAATATGTTCTATCACGTTATCTTGAATTATCTTTGTGTTCTTTATAATATGAATTTTTTAAGTTATCTTAGATATATATTTTTATTCTTACTTTTAATTTAAAAATACTATGACAATGCACGGATATATATATATATATATATATATATATATATATATTTGTCAGGTATAATATAAATTTACTATTAATTAAACGATAATATCTTTTATTTATTAAATGTCATTTATAATTTATATAAACAGGATTGACTTTCCATTCTAAAAATGCAATCCTGTGTCGTTCACATTTTCCTGTAATATACAGCGAGCCAAACATAATGAGCGACTCTAATTAACAATTTTCACGGTTGATAAAATATTACCCTTTTAACACACCTTTTTTTAGTAGCAGAAGTCTGAATTCTAAAATTGGAAAATTTGTTGGCCGAGAGGAAACTTCCTGGATTTTGAGCATCTAAAACTATATGAAGGGTCATGAATGGTGTGTGTGTTATTTTACTCTAAGGCACTGTACTAGTTTGTCTCATACCTTTTAAAGTGATGATACGGTGAATGGTTATAGCCGTCAGCAATTCACAAGTTCACAAAGCTCCATGCTCCACCCACCCCCACCTCAGAAAAATTCACCCAACACGTATAAACATAAAAGAACATTGAAAGACTGGGTGGTCCCAATCAGATTTCGTAACTGTTAACTATATTTGGATTATTTATCAAAAGTGCCAGCTAAAGCAATTGACATCTCTTTTAAGATTTGCAAATGATCTAAAATTGCACATTTTTCCACCTAGTAAGAGATTATTTCATCTATTATGATCATACTAAAACTCAATGTTAATTTTGAAGGTATTGTTTACTATTTTTTACTCTCAAGGTTCCATCATGTAATTTCATCTTCACCCCACTTATCAGAGACTAATGTCAGAGCTTTAGGCTTGTTTGGGCTCAATCAGAATCGACGTGATCACTAAGATTATTAAACTATTATATCACTATATATATTGATATTGTTCATTACCAAGATGCAGGTAAAAACTAGTTCTTATACGATAAATTATATTGAAAAGTTAAAGGAAATGACTAAATTTCTTGTGATAACCGTAATGTGTCCTTTTTCTTTTCTTATTTGATTAATTCAAGTGGTTGCAGTGGTTGCGTTAATAGAGCAATGACTGACATCTAATTGTCACGTGATTAATGACTATGCCCAATAAATTTCAAGGTCAAGGCTTGATACAAGTCAAGTCCCAGAAAGATATACAAGTCCAAATAAGAACGGAATGTGCTCAGGAGAGGATAATCAGGGTTGCTTTTGGTAATAATTTAGTGAGAATCCATTATTTAACTTTGATATGGGTTCCACTCGTTCGGTTAAGTGAACTTGGCCACTTATTTAAAAGAGAAACACAACTAGTCTTATTACTCTCATTAAAAAAGTATTAAACGACTAATCAAACTTTTTCGAAGAGAGAAACAGGCATTAGGTGAAGTTTAAGAAGCTATCAGACAATAATCTAATGCTAATTGTTTAAAGGTAAGACACCATTCGCATTTGACTAGTTTCATGATATCATCCCTTCTTGTTCCTAAATCCAAACCTAATTTTTGGGTTGATATCTAAAGACCAGTATTGGGTCGAAAGAATTGATGTTAAGCTTTTGGGACAAACATGAGAGTCCAACAAACCAATCAATTGCCCGCCTTTATTTTATTTTTGTCATTCATTTTTAAGTTTTATTTTCGTAAAACAATTCAAGAAAATAAAACATGATAAGAGCGTATTAGTCGAGCAATATGTCTTCCCCATTTAGTTATCATTTTTAGATAACAAAGTTTGCCTTTGTTACAGAAGTTGTACAAATAAAAATAACAATGTTGTCTTAATATATATTTATATGTTTTGGTCAACATGTAAAGTCTATCGAAGGATTGAGCTTGGACCTTGCCCACCATTGCAGGCCTTGACCCTTGACCATGGACCAAAGTTAAATCAGGCTTCGCACTTTGACAAAATAAGATAATAATAATAATTGAACAACACTCATTTTTTAAAATATTACTTTTTTAATTTAAATATTGAAGTTTCAGTCGATTTTAAAATGTATTGGCAGTAAATATGAACACCTTATTTTTAATGAATGATAAATCTATTCGAGACTTAATAATAAATTCACAATAAATAAATAAAAATATAATCACTGGAAACCCCAATAGATTATGTAGGTTTTTATTATTGACGCGACACTCTCTCTCCTTCTATCATGATTTGTTTAAAGAATAAATTAATTTTTTGTTGCGTTTTAACTATCTTATGGATGGATACTTTGAGTTTTAATTCTATGTTAATATTTTTAAAATTTACCACTTTATAATTAGTATTTTTTAGCTATCAAGTTAATTTTAACGATTCATTAATTTTTAATAATTTATGTTCTTGTAAAAGATACACTCGTTCACTTTCTTGTTGTCAAGGTCTTTAACTCTATATTTTCTTATTTTCACATCCAACTATGACTTTCTTAATGAAATTGTAAACTCTTTTTTATCTGTAATGAGAGAGATACCTGCAATGGCACTTTGACAGTTAAGTAAGTATTCAATATAGAGTAATATACGCTATTTAATATTTTGAAGTTAATTTTTTTACTTGTCTTTCTTACTTTCCTTTTATAGGCACTATATTAAGTTAATGGGCTTGGTGAGTCAACCCTGAATTAACTTTATGATATTTTAGATAATTAATTATTTTTTTATTGGTTAATCATAATGTTAGTTTATTTTAAGATGACAGAAGAAGTATTGATACCCTAGGATGAAGTCGAAAAGGTTGTTGGCACTTCTCATTCAAAGTGAGGCTGAAGGAATATTTGATACCCTTCGTCCTAAGACAAGACCGAATGGATAATTAATATCTTTCGTTCTAGGATAAGGTCAAAAGAGTACTCGGTTCCTTTTAGTTACAAGGTTGATCGAATAGGACCTTATCTTGTATTGTATCCTTCGTCCTAAGATAAGATCGAAAGGGTACTCAATTTTTTTTTGTTATGGGAATGACCGAATAGTATCTTATCTGCTACAATTCATTTTTTAAAAAATATTATAAAAATAAGGAATAGATAAAAAAAAACAAGTGCTTATCAGCGTTGATTCCTACTTTGGTTGTTTTTATTTAAAATCTAGAATGTCATTATATTTTCATTTTTAGAAATATAAAATATAAAATTTAACACATTATTCATATTTATGGCAAATAAACA